GACAGTCTGAGATAGGCAGGCTCTCATTGACAAGATCTGGCAATTGCCCAAGCAGACGATCTAGAGAAGAGGCTGCGAGAACCTGGACGGCAGCAAGACGCTTCAGAGATACATTGTTAGTGAGAAGAGTCTCCCATAGCCGGAGTTGCTGATCAGATATGGCGATTGACCAAGAAGTCTATTGTGGAGGAGAAGTGGAGAGAATCCGGAGAACATCCAGACTCTTAGAAAATTCGCTGCTGGCGCACAGAGATTGCTGCCATAGCCAGAGTAGTTGACAAGCTGGGGCGACTGAGGGAGAAAGAAATTACGAGCGGGGGCAACCGAGGGCGAAAGAAACTTTGAGGAGAAGCGGGGAGAAACTGCCTTACAGCCAGACTCTTAAAAGATTCTGCAGAGCAAAGGTTGCCGCCATAGCCAGCATTGCTCACAAGCGGTTCTGATTGAGGGAGACGATACTTCTGGAGGAAAGACACCGACTCTCTGATGATAATGGGCCTCTAGTTGTTTTTATATATTGTTAATGGTAATAATACCGGGATGGAAGGAGCCTTCAATCGGGGGCCACTTTGGGAGGATGATCTGACCACCTCCTCAAATGTCGTCCACCTCGAGGTTTTGGCCAAAAAAACAACCAAAAAGAAAAGATTAATATCGGCGTCTCTTGATAAATATTTGCTGATTTCCCCTTCTTCTTATACTCATGTTGATTATCCTTTGCTGCTCCCATCGATGATTGGTTCGCTTGAAAAGGCCCGACTGACATTATGTTCTTCAGGGGCGTGGTCCCGCTAGCAAAGAGGATCGGATCAAATGCCTGAATCTGGACGAGGTTATGTAGATGTGCAGGAAATCGAGATTGAACTGCTTTTCTGCATCTCTGCATAAAACACATCCAGATTCAGGAGCTCGATCCTATCCTTTTTGCTAGTGGGACCTCGGCCCAGTGGTTCGGAAAAACGGCCCACGAAATCGGAGGCTGTGTCTTAGGGCTAGGTCCCACTTGCACGAATTAAGAGATACTGACCGTAGATAGCAAAGATCGACGGCCGAAATCTCCTAATTTGCGAAAGTGGGACCTTGCCCTTAGACGTACCAGGAAAACAGCCTGACTGGCAAGAGGATTGGGACGAGTGCCTGGATCTGGATGTGTTTGGGACGAGTGCCTGGATCTGGATGTGTTTCACCAACTTTTATTGAGAGATGCAGAAAAGCAGATCAATTCTCCATTTTCTGCACCTCTCCACAAACACGTTCAGATTCAAATGTTAAATGAACTTAAACCAGCACTCGAAACTGCCCCTGAGCTGTAGAGCTGTAGCTTGTTTTTGTCGACACGTACCATATGCCAACCGCAACAGTGAACAGACTTGAGCAAAAAAGCAGGTTCAAGATATGGGCGTGCAGCGCATGTGAAAACACGCTGCCCACCCAAGTGGTCCGACAAAAATGAAATCGCGCTTCCCAAAAGAAGGGGGGGAAAAACGACAAGCCAAGCAACTTAACGTGCAGTTGCCCTGCCTCTGGTGGGGCGGGGGGAGGGCGGGGGGGGGCGGGGGGGGGRGAAACTGCCTAAGGGCACACTCGCAGTAGGACTTAAACCACCAGTACTTGGCCCGGCTATGAGCCACAGAAAAAAAGAAAACAATAGAGTAGAAACGTTTCTAGTCGGATGAATTTGGGCACGCCTGTAGTGGCCCATAGGTTTCCTAAAACCGTGGCTTGTTTACTGGCACGACTTTCGGGAATACTGGTGGTTTAGTATACTAAGCTCTGGACGTTACATACGGCGGTCGGCTTAATCCAGGTCTGGCCGTAATTGCGGTCATATCGTCAGATACGTTTTTTTTTCCCTTTGGCTTTCTTCTTTTTCGTTTCTTCTACATGCCATCCTGTTCTTTTCTACTCCTCGCAAACATCGCTTTCGTGACCGCTATCCATTCCGCCAGAGGCGCCAGGAGCGCTTTCCAGAATGAATCTGTGTCCAGTTCTGCCCAGAATCAGTCAAACATGAGTATGCCCTCAGTAAGGGCAGGTAACTGCCTCTCATGCCTACTGCTTTGAGAGGAGGGACGAGAAAAGACAAAAGTTTTGAAAAAAAAGAAGGACAAGATTCCCAAAAGGGAGAGATTCGTTCAAGAATTCTTCCCCCCCCCCCCCAAAAAAAAAAAAAAAGATTTGTTCAAGAAGGTCATAGTGTGAGGGCATTTTGAAACAGTTTTCACCTTTGGCAGTAGCCGATGCAGATCCCAGGGGTCAATCCCTTGACCTCAGCTTACCTGTGTACAGTATCTGCACAGTTCCCTGGAGTTGAACCCGTGACCTGCACGATAGC